TGCCATGGTGTCACAGCTCACAGCAACCTCAAACTCTTGGGCTCAAGGGACTCTCTTGCCTCAGCCTCCCAAATAGCTGGGAATACAGGCACCTGCCACAATGCCGGCTATTTTTTGTTGCAGTTGTCATTGTTGGTTAGCTGGCCCAGGCTGGTTTTGAACCCAGTAGCCTCGGTGTATGTGACTGGCACTGTAACCACTGTGCTACAAGTGCTGAGCCTCCAAAATCTACATTTCTAAAAGATTTCCCTGAGACAAGACTCAGAGAAGCAGAGCTACAGGACAAATTTCTCACAGGTATATTTGGGTGGTGAGTCTGTGTGACATTCTTTCTACTTACAAATTTTATTTCTGTGGTGGGAAAAAAATGTTACAGTTTCTATTAGGAAAAAAGTCACAACTCAACAGGTTATGGGGAATAACAACACAATCCCTTGAAAAGCAACTGGTGTGAAGTTGTAAGTCCCCACGGTGTGGCGTAGGGCTCTCTGACTTTAGTCATCTAATCACCTGTGCTTTGACTGTCACAAGAAATCTAAATCTCACCAAAATGTCATAAAAATGAGAAACCCTTTAGGCTCCCCAGAGGAAAACATGTTAATTCTGACTGCAAGTGCTCAAATGACAAAGGGCCCTGGAGATAAATGCCCACTAGGCCATGTCCTGTAAGCCAAGTTCAGAGATTAGAGCAGAGAAAGAACACAGAGCAGAGACATGGGTCTGCCTGTGTTTAAACACAGACAGCTACTGGGAAAACTGGTTTCTGACTTTCAGTCATTTTCTATAGCAACATTTTCAAGCTTTTTGGACCATGTTTCCTAGTTAGAAATATACTTTGTTTTAACCCCGCAACATGTGAAGTGTGTATATAACTGAACCAAAAGCTTCATGGAACAGTGATCTCCCTGTTACATGTGATATGTTTGGACATCTATTCTGCTCCAGCTGAGTCTCTACCGGCTACAATGTACCATACTCCCCAACCTCCCAGGCATTCATGACTCAGACTTTGAAAATCACTGTTCTAGAACTAAATTCGAGGAAAAGAAAAAACTAAACATTAGCCTAGGCGGTACCCACAGCTCAATGGGTAGGGCACTGGCCAAATACACGCTAGCAGGTTCAAACTCGGTCCGGGCCAGCTAAACAACAAGCACAATGCAACAACAACCAAAAAATAGCTGGGCATTGTGGCGGGAGCCTGTAGTCCCAGCTACTTGGGAGGCTGAGGCAAGAGAATTGCTTAAGCCTAGGAGTTTGAGGTTACTGTGAGCTGTGGACTCTGGCACTCTACCAAGGGCGACATAGTGAGACTCTGTCTCAAATAAATAAACAAACAAACATCAGCCCAAACTACAAAGATAAAAAAGATATATCAAGTTCCTTTCACGTTTAACATCCATTTTACAAAAGAATACTCCAAATACTATTTTGTATTGGAAAAATTATACACCATTTAGCATTGAAGTACAGTAATTTTACTTATCTCATTTAATTGTTACAACCATAGATGAGCAGGGTAAGAAACTGTCCATTTTAGGGAATAAGAAACCAAGGATGCAATGAATTCCAGGCCTTAAGTGGCCAGCTAGAGGTGACTGGGTAAAGGGAAGATGTGGGATTAGGAATCAATTCTCATAATACGTAACATGGACACTTCTACAGTTATTTTTTTAAAATAAAAAAAAATTCTTTTTAAGAGTCTTGCTGAAGTCTGTTAACCAGGCTTCAGAGTAGTGGTCTGATAACAGCTCAATATAACCTCAAACTCCTGGACTCAAGCAATCCTCCTGCCTCAGCCTCCTGTGTAGCTGGGACTACATGTGTACACTACCACACATGGCTAATTTTTCTATTTTTTTTATAGAAATGGGGTCTCACTCTTTGCTCAGGCTGGTCTCAAACTACTGGCCTCAAATGATCCTCCCACCTTGGCCTTCCAAAGCACTGGGATTACAGGTGTGAATCACCAGGCCTGGATTTACAGTATATTTTATTTAATTAATTAATTAATT